CCCAGCCACTTCCAGCCACTGGTGGCCTGAGAAGATCCTGATCACCTTCCTCTCCCACTTGTGTCATATGGGGGTCCCACACTTTGCCATACACCCCAGAGCCGGATGCACCAGGCCTGGCATCATAGTCCTGGTAAATGAGGTGGACCGTCTCGTCCTCCACCCCACAGAAGCGGTAGACCAGCTCTCCTGGCCAGTCACTGTCAAACCCCGAGAAATTAATCCTCTTCCCAGCCATCTCCTCCATTGCTGGAGCTGCCATCAGCTTCATGTGCAGGTGCCGGCGTGGCCTGTGCAGCTCCAAAAGGGCATAGTTGTAGTCCATGCTGACCAAGTTGGGACCCCGGATCCAGCCCACGGGCACCTGCGTCCACTGCACCAGAGACCAGCGCATCGCCAGCCTCCCCATCCCGTTGCCAGCACCCCGCACTGGCGTCAGGAAACCCACCTTGATCTTCTTTGCCACCTTCACTTAGTCTTTGCTGTTGTGAATGCAGTGGGCAGTGGTGAGGATGTGCCGCTCAGACACCAACACGCCCATGCAGCCCCTGGAGATCTTGACGGTGACAGAGAAGGGGTAGGTCATCAGGAAGTGGTTCCTGCCAGGAAGTGGGTCCTGCTGATGGGAAACTGCCTGTCTGTGCCATAAATCTGCCACTTGGTGGCTCACGCCACCTCCGCCATCTCCGCACCACTCGCCTGGGGGCTCACTTCCACCGTGGTGAGGGTGGGGGTGCCATTGGGATACACTGTCTCGTGAGAGAGAGATTCCTGGAAGTCCTGAGGGACCAGGGTGGCCTCCCGCCAGGCACAGGCATCGTCGCAGCGTGTTGTCAGCTCCAGGACAGGCTGTGACAAGAACCACCCATTGGCTAGTTGCAGCATGGACCAAGGAAAAAGAGCGGGAACCAGGTCACCAGCTGTAGCACTGGGAAGAAAGGACAGCAAGAGAAGAGCAACCACCTGGCAGCAAGTCATCATGCCAGACCTGCAAAAGCAAAGCAGGGAGAGCATTAAGCCTCACAATTAGAGAGTCAGCCACCTGCCACAGCTCAGGGCCGGGAGGATTATCGGATGCACGCAGCCTCATGCCAACTACTGGGTCATGCATACTTAAGCTGTTACCACAGAAAGCAGAAGGGTTGGGACCTGCCTAGAGCCGGGTGAGTAAGGAGCGATAGGAATCTCACCCGGCACCAGCTTTGATCTCCTGGAGTTCTTCTGGACGGTGAGGCCCTGCAGCACAACCCAGTGCTGCTGCAGAAATACCACAGGCTCATGAGTTTGCTCTTTTGCGCCAGTAACCCTGTCTGCCCCAGGATGGATTCCCCAGATTCCAGGGCTCGAGCCCCGCTGATACATGCATCCCACCCGGCAGCCACAGCAGCTCCACTCCACCAGTCGGTCACCTGTGGGGAGGAGGATATGATGGTACCTGCTTGCTGGTCCTACAGGGAAGAAAAAGGCGCATCAGCGCCTCAGGTTGAAGTATTTGGTGTCACAGAGCAATGCGGACCAACCAGCCTATTTTAACTCCCAAATGGATCATTGTACCCAATTTAAAATTTAATCCTCCGTTATATCTCCACGTGCCTGGGCCACCCCTGTTCTGGCAGGGGAGCAGTGCAGGGGCAGGCTCTGCAGTGCCAGCTCTCCCTCCAATGGCTCAGCAGCACAACCCTCTGTCTCCATCGTGCCCTGAGCCTGCATACCCACACAGGTCCCTCTCAGTAGCCGCTCCGGAAGCTCTTCCTTGGCAAGCAGCTGGTGTGCAGACAGAGGTGCTCTGATGCTGCCACTGGGAAAGCTCCATGTCCCCCAAAGGCAGCTGGGGTCTGCGCTGGACACGTTGCAGTGCATGCAGTTATGAAAGCCGCAGGGGACAGGGCAGAGCCAAGTGGAGAGGGAGGCTGAGAGCCACCAGCTCTCTGCATCCCCTGCACCCTGACCCACCAGTGCTGCATTCCCAGCATAGCCCACGGCCAGAGCATGTGCCGCCAGCCGGTGGCTGGAGACAGGCCTCCGCTGCAATGCTGCCCCAACTGCCTGCCCCCTCAGCATGGCTTAGGCCAAACGCAGCCAGAGCCAACAACCCTCCAGCTCGCCTTTAAATCAAGGGGGGATGGCAACAGGGAGATCACAAACCAAGCCCTGGCTTTAGCTCCCAGGGAGGCCTGCCTGAGTGCCCCTCCCCTCAGCACTACAGCCAGCAGGATGGCACTGAAACAGGAGCCAGCCCTGCTTCCCCTGCCCATGCTTGTGCCAAGTCAGCCCCGCACCCGTGCAGCAGCGGAGCCGCAGGCAGGGGAGCAGCTTCGGGCTTGTTTGGTTCCTGCCAGGGCTCTGCCAGCCACTCTGCCAGGGCTGGAGCCGCCTCGGGGAGGCCCACAGCCGGGCGGCAGGCAGGAACACAGCCTGTGCTCCGAGTCTGGGTGGAAACTCCCTGCCTGACAGGGCAAACCACAGGCAGCTGTGTGCAGGGCTGGGGACCAGGCCTCTTAGCCGCAAAGCCAGGTTCTGCTTTTTGCTGCATTTTTCTCAACCAAGAAAATGGCCCCTTCCAGACTGGCATGGGAGGGGAACGCTCACCCTGCAGCCCCCAACACCTGACAGCTTTCGCCCAGGAACATGCTTCCCTCCTGGCCCCTCTCTGCACAATGGAGCCCCGGGTTGCTATCAGAGCAGCAGGCCACACGCAGGCTGGCACAGCAGCAGCTAAAGCGGTGCCAACAACATGCTGGGGCTCTGGCTGGGTGTTACCCACCAACTGATGTGTCGAGATGTACAGTAACGCCAGCAGGGCTTGGGAAAGGCAGAGGCACTGCCCACAGAGGATGCGGTGCCATCCCTGGCAACTCTGCTAGCCCAGAAAGACGTGGTGGGCAGAGGAAGGCAAGGTCCCCCCAGAGTGGGCACCCAGGGCTGGGGCAGCCCCCCCCACCCCACCCCAGGCAGGCAGCAAAGGGCAGGGTGCCTGCCACGGGGCCTGGGGATTGACAGGGCTGCTGCACTGCTGCCAGCACCTGTGCCCATGATGGGATGGCACCAACCCACCACACCACGCCGGCACGCACTGGCACAGCTGCTTCCCTGCCAGGCTGCTGTGGTGGGCCCAGGGCTTCCAGCACCTCGCTCCACATCCGGAGCTCTGCCAGTCCCAGTGGGTGCCCAGGATGGGATACTGGTGCTCAGTGGAATGGCCTGGAGCCAAGCATGGACATGCCCATGGGCACAAACAGACCCACGCATGGCCATGGGCATGGATGTGCACACATGCATGGGGACACGGGCATGGGGGGGCTGGAGCAGTGCTGAGGCAGGTGGTGAGGGCTGCAGCTGTTATCACGGGCCCATTGCCCACTAGGCTTGGGCAACAGCACCTGAACCTGGGTGCATGGGTGCCAGGGCAACTGTGTGCTCAACAGAGCCCCATGTGTTGTCCCTGGCCAGAAGATACCCACCAGGTGGGGTGATGGGACCCAGTGTGGCACACCAAGGCACTGGCACGACCGGGAGAACTGGAAGCACCTGCGAGGAGCCAGTGCCAGGTGTCAGTTGCGCCTGAGGTCTGGAGCCTGAGGCTCTGGCAGGGCACCCCAGCCTGGGGCAACGGGGCAGGTGGTGCCCAACACAGGGCCAGAGCAGGTGCTGCAGCCCCTTTTACTCTGGGGACAGCACTGCGGCAGGGTTCACAGCTCCAGCCCAGGGGCCGAGCAGAGCTGATGGTGTGGGGCCCTCACCATTGACCGTGCAGTGACCCTGCTCCGCTGCCAGTAAACAGGAACAGATGCCAAAACCACGCAAGATCCATCTGCCCTAGATTAGTTTATTTTGCAAAATAATTTGTCAGGGCTGATTTAGACCAGACCAGAATCTGGGAAATCATCATCTTCGCACATGGATGATGCAGCCCAGCTCCTGGCCACACTTCCTCTGCAGGCCATTGCTAGAGCCTCCAGGAGATATTTCCAAGGCCTTTACTGCAGCCACTGTCCTGGGACCTGGTGACATGTTCCCATGCAGCACAGGGCCTGCAGGGTGGGGCCATGGCAGGCTGGTGTCCGGCCCACAGGTACCAGCAGCACTGGGTTGAGAGCCTGGAGAACTACTCCATGGTTCCTGGCTCACTGTCCCAGAGGACAGTATGAGAGCTGGTGGCTCCAGCTGGCAGGTTTCGGGCAGGGAGCTCACCCAGCTGTGGCTGAGCCCTGCTCTGCGCTGACACCAGCCTGGCACCCAGCCCATGGAGTCCTGCCCAGGGGTCCGTGACCACAGGGCATTAACACGAGATGCGGCAGGACCGACAGAGCCAAGCACTTTAAAACCCATGTAGTTTAATAAGTATAAAAGTCGACATTAAAACACCAATTATACAAAGGCATATGAGGTTGGACACTGGTACGGCTACACTGTGGACATCTTCATGGACACCCGAACTAGATGCTCAAACCAAGCAGCATGGCCGGGGCAGCACGGGGCTTGGTGTGAGATGCAAATCCCAGACACAGAGAGGGGAGCACCGGACTGCTGGCGGTACCAGAATGAGCTGCCCCAAGCCTCGTTGCACAGCTCCAGCCATGGCTGCCATGTACACACCCAGCGCTTGGCAAGCACGGAGAGGAGGTGGTGACCACAGCCACATGGACAGACGGAACAAATACAACTGCACCATCACGTGGGGCCTCCTATGCGCAGGGAAAGCAGCATTTCTGATGGCAGCTTCCGTGGCAGGAGGGCCGTGCCGGTGTCACTGCCCCTCAGCAGGGTTGGGAGGATGGCAGAGACCAGCCCTGGGCCACTAATGCTCCCACCCAGCCTGGGGACTTGTCTCCGTGACCCCTGCTCTGCGAGGAGAAAGGGCAGCGCACGAGCCAGCTCCACAGTCCTGACTCTGGGAATCGCACCCCATGGGAGAGGGGATGGATGTACCGAGCAGATCATGATCTTGTCCCCGAGTGGGAATACCGGCAGAGGTCCACAGAGTGCCGGTGCCCAGTCCCTCAGACCGCAGCAGCCCCGGGGTCGAGGTCCAGCCCAGGGTGGTGCAGAGGCTTTTCTACTGTGGCACAGGGTTCCTCCGCATTTTTCCCTTCCACGCTGTTCCGAATCCCGTAGCCAAAGTAAATCATAAAACCTGCAGGACGGTTTCCACAATGAAATGCACAACGGCAGGCTGCTAGCGTAACAGCACCCCAGGGGAGACCCTGTGGGCACCACACTCCCCTCCACAAGACACCTACCCACAAACATCCAGATGGCAAACAACACCCAGGTGCCAACACTCAGCTGTACCATCAGCAGGATGTTAATGAAGATGCTGAAGATTGGCAGGAGGGGGAGGAAAGGTACCTGTGAGGAACAAGAGGTGCCCTGTCAGCTGTGCCTTGAGGGACCTGGCTGGACATGAGCATGCTCCTGGCCACAGAGGAATCCCACCCCTGCCACAGCCCAGAGAGCACCTGGGCACTTCCACGCTAGGGATTCCACCTTGGAGAGCTGCATCTTGGGGCCCTGGGCTTTCCCGGATAGTGACTGCCTAGCAGTGAGCCCTGGCAGACCCTGCAATGGCCCAGACCCTGCCAGGAGTCCACGGGGGTGCAGATCCCGAGCTACTGAGGGCTGCACTCACTTTGAAGTTCAATCGCACGTTGCTCTGTGGCTGCCTCCAAACGATGATGGTAGGAATGAGCAGAGCCACGAGGAGTAGCACCAGGACCATGATCCAGCCCACACTGGCGTCCTTCAGCGCAGTCACCTTGAGGGTCAGGACCACGCAGATGACCGTGATCAGTGTGGCTGCAAGAGAGGGGGCAGTCGAGGGGCTGCATGGCACGTGGCCTCCCTGGGACCCCAAGCCTCACCAATGGCTGGGCTGAGGCACCCACTCCTCTTGGTCACGTATGGGTCCACCATGTGCTGCCTCCAACACCCACCCCAAAGATTCACGAAAGCACTCTGCTGGGGGAACTCGCCAGCCCAGCAAGCTGAGGGAAGCATGCGCTTGGCTGGGCTCAAACCCAGCTCTGATGCTTACCCAGACCTGGCTGAGCCACACCATTCTGGCTGCACAACGAAGCCATTGATGGATGGACCAAACCTCGCTGGCCAAGCACGAGCGCTCTCAGGGAGCTGGGGACCACCCTTGCTGGGTGGCCAGCCTGAGCCAGGCTTGTCACAGGGAGCTCCCATGACCACCCGCACATGCCTGGCTTAGTGCCCACATCCTCCATCAGCCCCTGTGTGCCCCAAACCCTCGCCGTGCCCTGTGCTTGGCACCCTGCTCAGGGCAGAGCAGGTCCAGCACCTGTTGATCCAGCCAACAGCAGCTGGCAGCCTGTGCTGCCCAGCCCATCTCCTCCACCCAATGTGCCCACCATCCCTTCCTGGCTCTGCAGAGATGCACCAAAATGCTCCAGCCCCTGGCAGGAGGGGACATCGGCCGCTGGTTCCCACTCACTCACCGATGACCGAGACACAGATGTAGACGATGCGCCCTGAAAGCGTGGTGGGGGTGCCCGCAGGCGGGTTGAAGAGCATCGCCAGGGACAGCGTCTCTTTCTGCTGGGTGCTGGCAGTGGTGATGTTCGGGCTCATGATCACCCTCTCCTCCTCATTCCTATTCAGCTCCAGCATTTCCATGGCCTTTGGGGAATTCAGCTGCCCAGACTGGTACCTGAGCAAATGGGGCAAGCTGCAGCAGAGCCCAAGGAACTTCCCAGCCCAGGGGGACAGTGGGCAGCACCCTCATACCCCTCTCGCTCCTCCAGCCCCACATGTTGCTCCAGCAGCGACCCCGTGATGGCCACCCCACAGATGTGCCCAGAGACACCATACAGGCTCTTGTGAGCAGCCTCCATCTTGGGGGCTTGAAGCTTCCCCAGGCTGCGTCCCCCCAGGAAAAAGCTGTGGCCACAAGCCCCAGGCTTGATGCAAGCCACATCCACCTCAGGCACAGCCACGCGAGAGGAGGCACCCACCGGAGGATGAGCACGCACACTGCCACCAGGGAGTAGGCCAGCAGCGTGCCAATCGACATGAGGTCCACCAGGTCCTTCAGGTCAAGCAGGAAGGCCATCACCGCTGCAACAAGGACATGCAGTATGAGCACAGCTCCAGACCACTGCAGGGCCAAGTGTGAGGCGGCAGCTGGGAGCCTTACCTGCGAGGAGCCCCGAGGCGATGGTGGCTGACAGAGGGGTCTTCGTGCGGCTGTTGATGCTGGAGAGGAACTTGAAGAGCAGCCCGTCCTCTGCCATGGCGTAGATCACACGGGGCATGGGGAACATGGAGCCCAGCAAGCTGCCATGGGGAGACATGGCTCAGGGCCTGCCAGGCAAGCTGTCCATGCCCACCACCCAGGTGGGGACAGGACCGGCTCAGTGCCGGGAGTAGCACAGCAGCTGGATGGGGCAAACCCCCAGCCCAGCTGGGACATGGGCTGCTGGTCCCCATGCTGTGCCAGGCAGTGCCAGGAATGGAGCCAGTCCTACCTGGTGGAGAGGGCACAGAGTGAGCCAACAGCAACGGCGTAGCGGGCAGGCTCCCACCCCACCGCCTTGAAAGCCTCAGGAAGTGGGCTCTCCTTGTTCAGGAGGAAGTAGGGCACCATGAGGGTCAGGGCCGCGGAGACCCCGAAATAAGCCACGAAGCAGATGAGGAGGGACACAATGATGCCAATGGGGATCGAGCGCTGCGGGTTCCTGGCTTCCTCCCCTGTGCAGAGACAAGAGGCAGCGTCCATCCCCGCTCTGTGGCACAGCACGGGGCAGCTGGTCCTGGGGGATGAGCCACAGCAGGGACTTTCCATGGCAGTGTGGGGCTGGGCAGCAGCAGGCAGGGACTATTGGAGAGGAGGGGTCCCCATCTGTGCTGCTGTGCTGGCAGAGGCTTTGGCACTGCCGAGAGCGGAGGCGCGTGGCTACAGCCCCAGCTACCAGGCATGCAACTGCCTGGCAGCTGGGCTCGCAGCCCCCCCAACCATACCGGCCCTCTGCCCCCACCAGCAGCTCCCACTCCCCACAGAGCCTGCTGAAGGTGGATCCTCTGTGCATATGGGCACAGCGACGCAGCCACTGTGCCCTCTGCCCCCCGGCCTTTGCAAAGGCGTGCTCTCCCACTGCACCACGTTCCCTGGCAAGGGGCTCCGTGGCTGGGGGAGGAGGGAAGGAGCCAGCTGCCAGGCAGCCCCTGCAGGCAGGGAGGTCAGCGAGAACGGCCTGTAACAGCCACCCACTAAGTAGATTCCTGGGGGAATGGGAGGAAATTAAGAGGGCTCCCTGCGCTCTAGAGAGCAGCGGTTCTGCATGAACTCAGTCATTTAGGAAAATGTTGCTTGAGGCTGGGACATAAGCAGGAGGCACTAGCAATTCCCAGTGCTGTCACAGCCTCAACGCGGCAGCGGAAAGGTTCCCCACTGCCCCGGGAGCCGCCTGCACAGGCAGGGTGCAGCCCCACTCCCACCACGTGGTGTGGGGAGCTGCTTTTCCTGGGGCAGGGCATGCTGTGAGCCTTTTTGTGCTGGCCCAGCTGGGGACAGAGCCACTGCAGGAAAACCTCCCAGGAGCAGTGGGACGGGCTGTTTCCCACACCACGGAGCATCCTCCCCGGCAGGTCCCAGCCAGCAGCCGGCTGCGCTGGGGAAATGCCCATGCTGCCCTTGCCCAAGGCGGTACCTGTGGTGGCGATGCAGTCAAAGCCCACAAAGGCATAGAAACAGGTGGCAGCGCCAGTCAGGATCCCTTCCAGTCCAAAGGGGACAAACCCGCCAGAGCCGAAGTCTTCTTTCCTGGAAAGGAGGGAGAAGAGCAGCTGCCATGGGGTGCACAGACAGCAGGGACGGTGCCAGCCCTGTGCTGGACCTTGGCCCGGCACAACTACTCTCCTCACCTGGTGTCATCCAGTGAGTCCAGGTGCGAGCGGTTGATGTAGTCCTCCTGCGAGAGCTGCCAGTTCTTGATGTCTCCCTTCACAAAGCCAGCGATGATGACAAAGCCCAGCACCACCAGGTTCACCGCTGTGAAGATTTTGTTCACAAGGGCGGATTCACTGACGCCAAAGGCCAGCAGCGCTGCAGGGACGGAAGCAGCGAGTGAGGACCTGCCAGGCTCCCATGCCACCACCCGCGGTGCCATGGAGCGGCTGCTACGCACTCACCAGTGAGCAGCCCAATCAGGATGAGGGCAAAGAAGTCCGGGCGCTCGGCCAGCACCCCTGGCAGGTGCACTGTGGTCTTGTTCATGAAGAAGGTGGAGATGTGGTTGCCAATGATGTTGTCGAATGCCGCACTCCAGGCT